AAAACATTACAACGCATGGAAGATTTTTTACGTCCACTTGAAGGAAACAGTAGCAGCACGTGACGTGATTTTCTACGAACGGCTCACCCTCCCAACGTACCTTGCCAACCTGGAAGAAGAACGAGACCCCACAGGCGGATTTCATGGTGACCGAGCCTACGCTTTGGCAGCAGACGAAGCTGACTGGGACAAGCAGAACGTGGACGGAGCATCGGAGGAAGCCGGACCTCTACCCTACTGCTCGGTGGACATCCCGATGGACGACGACAACTCTCGCGAAAGCATCAACGCCGAAGTCTACTACGACCTCGCCGACAACGGTTACGTTACACCTCAACCAGTCAACATCAGCATCTCAGAACGCATAGGACCCAATTTCTTACCTGATCCAGAAGCGGGAGACGAAGCAGTTTATCCCGAGGACCCAAATCTCCCCCGACTCTCACAGAGTGGACTGCAGATACTGGGACTCGTCACCGTCGTCCACGGAGCAACACCACCTAAAGAGCCTGCCACAGTTCAGCAAGCTCTGGGGGGGGAGCACAAGGAAAAATGGCGCGAAGCCATGGACAGGGAATTGAAGGCGCTGGAAGTACGCAACACCTGGAAGGTCGTACCCATCGGAGTGACACGCAACAAGACAATACTCACTGGGAAGTGGGTCTTCCGCGTGAAGACAAAGGCTGACGGAACCATCGACAAGTTCAAGGCACGATGGGTCGTACGCGGCTTCGACCAAGAACACGGACGAGACTTCACCGAAACTTTCGCGCCTTTCAGCCGACACACCTCACTGCAGATTCTCCTCGCGATAGCGGCCATGAAGCAGAAGAAGCTCCGCCAAATCGATGTCACCAACGCCTTTCTCTACACCCCCGTCGATGCTGAGATCTTCGTCGAACAACCACACGGCTCCAAGGCAGATCCTAACCAAATCTGTCAGCTGCTAAAATCCTTATACGGCATTAAGCAAGCTCCGAGACTGTGGCAGCAATACTTACATGCTCGGCTAATCCGCATCGGATTCCGCCAAATACCGCACGACCAAGGCATGTACCGACTTACGAAAGGCACCGACTACATCCTGCTTATTGTCTACGTGGACGATCTGCCCTACATCGGCTCAACCGACGGCATCATGACCTGGTTTGAAGGGGAGCTGCAGCGGGATCTCACACTCACCGTCTCCTCCACCGTAACGCAGTACCTCGGGCTCAACATACAAGAAGGGGAGAACGCGATCTACCTCAGCGCCGCGAAATACGCCGACACCATCGCCAAGCGCTTTGGATTAACCCCAACCACTATCTCCACGCCATACCGCTACACCGCCGAAAATCACAAGGAAACCTCCGCTTCGCTCAAACCCGTCGGCATACGCGACTACCAACGAAAGCTAGGATGCTTGCTCTTCGCAGCCGTCACCTGCCGACCGGATCTATCGTACTCAGCGAGCCAACTCGCCACCTATCTCAAGAAACCCAAAGCAGAGCATATGGCGGAGCTCGACCGCGCACTCCACTACCTCGTCAGCACCCCGACAATCGGCACCACAAAACTGGAACCATGACGCCCAAGCTAATCGGCCACGTGGATGCTGACCATGCCAGCGACTCCGACAACAGGCGTTCGCGCACCGGCTACGTCTACCGACTCGAACCTATCGGACCTATCTCATGGCAGTCGAGAAAGCAAGAGCTAATTGCTCTCTCCTCAGCCGAAGCAGAATACATCGCACTCTGCTCAGCCACCAAGGAAGGATTATACCTTCGCGAACTGCTGGAAGAAGCGAAGCTGGCCCACTTACCCAACTTCTCCCTGTTCTGCGACAATCAATCAGCAATCCGCATAGTGAACAAGAACGGGTTTGCGAACCGAACGAAGCACATCGCCCTGCGATATTTCTTCGTGAAAGACAAAATCGAGAAGGGGAGACTCGAGCTGTCCTCTTGCCCCACATCCGAGATGGCAGCAGATTACTTGACCAAAAAAACTCAGAAAGCAGAAGTTCGTGTACTGCATGCTGCTGACTGGACAAGGCCACGTCACCAGCAGTGACACTCCAGAAGCGAAGGGGAGTGTTGGAAACAAGTAACTTAACGCTTTTGTTGTGTCGGAACATCGAACTGTAAATGAAGCGAGTTACAACGAAGCAACGGCGAGTCAACCGAGGAGGTTGACAAAACGTAACAGCTGGAGGTTACGCGAAAGTCAAGGTCAGCGACCTTTGACTCACCAACATACAGCGCGACAGCACAAACAACTGACTCGGTATTGAGCAGTTGCCCGAGTCGTCACTGTATCGAACTGCAACAGCAACAGTAAAACAGCCTTTTCATATTCCTTGTAATCTTATAAAAACTTGTATCCCTTTGCTTTAATTATTCTATCTTGCCCTCACACACCAACGCAAGGTGGTTTAACGTTCTATCATTAAACGCTTCCGCAATTACAACATTCCTACCTGGATTTTAGCCTTGAAAAGATCCTAAGGGCTTTTCTCAGCCCAACACCAACTGGGCTGCCCAAGGAGGATGAGAGCAAATATCTCAGAATGCTAGCGGAATGTGATGATCGACTAGTAGGGCATGAGGTACAAGTAGGAATGTCGAGGGACAATGTGTACCCTATACTAGGCAACTCACTGTAGCCTGACAAACTAACAAATCATATAAATATTATTTGACACACCCCCATAGGCTAAGTGAGGGGCATCAAAACAAGCAAGGCAAACAAACGGTCACAAGACCAGTCAAGATAAGAAACAAGACAAGCTCGGGGTGGATCTCAAGATCACCACGCATTCCGAGCACACGCAAAATGGCCACAAGGCCGGTTCAAGGGTTCACAAATATATATAGAGCAAAGCTACTACAAGTGAGCACCAGTGTCAACAAGTCCTAACTACACACAGAACCTGTGGTGGTCACCAGGCGCCAAGGCCTTGGTGAAGATGTCCGCTGTGTTGGCCTCTGACGCCACAAAGTCTAGGCACGCCTGGCCGCGACGATGCAGCTCTTGTAAGAGGAAGTACCTCACGTTAATGTGCTTCACCCTGCTCTCCAGTCGAGGCTCGCGACACAAGAGAATCATGACATTGTTGTCAGCGAACAAGGTCGGAGCAGAACGAGGCCTCTTACTAAGGTCAGTGAGCAAGAAGGTCAACCAGCGAAGCTCCTTCGAAGCCATAGCACCGGCGTAGATCTCTGCCTCGGCACTGGACTGTCAAAATGCATATTGCTGTGTAGGTTGTAGTGGGGAACTCAACAGAGAGTACAACCCTTCTACGGTTTCCCTTTATGTACTCCCCATGCCTACTAGTGCAATCACTTCCATCTGCTATCATCATTCTTGTTCAGTATTCTGACATGGTATCAGAGCAGGCTCGTTCCTAGAGCCTTCTCCCATTTGGGCCCACCGTTAGCTTCCGCTAAATGCGCCACTCTACTGCCCGTCGCGCGCCCCGGGTGCGCGTCGGTTTTCTGCCCGTCGCGCGCCCGATTTGGCGCGCGACGGTTTCTGCCTTGTCTGCCCGCCCGCGGACCCTACTGTCGCCCGCGCAACTCCTACCCCGCCCCCCCGCGCCCCCTTCTCCTCCATCTCCCTGCTGCGCTTGCAGCAGTGGGGGGAGGTATGGGGGTGGCGGGTCTGAGTAACCAGCTGCCGCCCCTCCTCCTCTCTCTCCTACTGCCGCACATGCCACCGTGGGGGGGGGAGGGTGTGGGGGAGATGAGGGAGTGGCGGTAGGGATGCCAAGGGGTGTGAAAGGGAGTTTTGGGAAAATGGGGGAGGTTGAAGGGGGGTGGCCGCCGTGAAGCCAGCAGCTCCAGTTGCCCGTGAGCCCGTTGCTCCAGTCGCCCGTGAGCCCGTTGCTCCAGTCGCCCGTAAGCGCATTGCTCCAGTCGCCCGTGAGTCGGTTGCTCTAGCCGCTCGACTAGCCGCAGAGCCAGTTACTCCAGTTGCCCGTGTGCCAGTTGCTCGAGTTGCTTGTGTGCCAGCTGCTCCAGCTGCCCGTGTGCCAGTTGCTCCTGTTGCCTGTGTGCCAGCAGCTTCAGCCGCCGCCCACCACCTCCTCTCCTCTCATGGTCCCTCCTCCTCTTCACTTGCCCTCTATTTCTTCCGATAAACTCTGCATGTGAGCTTGCTTTGCTTTGTTTCTTTGCTTGACTGGTCCCATGACCACTTGTTGTGTTTGCTATCCCCGACTTCGCCTATGGGGGTGTGTCAAAATGCATATTGTTGTGTAGGCTTAGTGGGGTACTCAACAGAGAGTACAACCCTCTTAGGGTTTCCATTTATGTACTCCCTATGCCTGCTAGTGCAATCACTTCCTTCTGCTATCATCATTCTCATTCAGTATTCTGACATGGACGTACCCAGAGACGATCACCATGTAGACCTCCACGACACAGCTCCAGCTCCCAAGCTGAAACAATAACCCTGGGTCGAGCGCTGAGTCTCCACGTCGTCAGAGTACGAAGAGTCGCAGTGATCGGTCAGCACAACTGACTCTCTCCCACCAAGCACAAGCCCCATGCCTGATGTAGTCGCTAGGTACTTCGCCACCCTCACAGTAGCTGTCCAGTGAACAGGACGATGTCTCACAGTCGCAACAAAGCGAGAGAGAACGCTGTAGGGAAAGGCGAGGTCCGGACGTGTACAAGTCATCAGGTACATGAGGCAGCCCACAAGCTTAAGTTAGGGACCAATAGGCTTGAAGGGCTCGTCAGGAAAAGGGCCGCTGAGTCTGTGGTCTACAGCAAGCGGAGTGGGCTGTGTGGTGGAGTGCTGAAGCCTGAACAGCTGAAGGACTTACTGCACCATGTGTGACTATGAGAGTGTCATGGTGCGAGCGGCTCTGTCCCTGGTAATCTGCAGGCCGAGGTAGCGCTGCAGTTCACTGAGGTCAGTGCACGTGTGTCTCTTCTGCAGTTCAGACTTCACCTCAGACAAAGCTGTACAAGCTGATGCTGCTGCGGCGACTACTGCTGCGGCTGCTGCTACTGCGACGGTTGCTGCTGCTGCTGCTGCTGGTGCTGCTGCTCCTGTTGCTGCTGCTGCTGCTGTTGCTGCTGCTGCTCCTCCTCCTCCTCCTCCTGCTCCTCCTCCTGCTGCTCCCGCAAGTCCAATTGCTGCAGCTCCCGCCTCTCCCGCTCCAACCGCTCCTACTCCTCACACTCACGGCGGCGAGCCACCTGGAGACGTGTGTCGTGGCGGTGGGAGGCGTAGTAGTAGTGCCTCCAGTGCCAGTCTCCTCTGAACTAGCCCCGCCAGCTCCAGCACCCTCAAAACTAGCGCCACTAGTCCCAACACCTCCAGCTCCAGCACCCCCAAAACTAGCACCTCCAGTGCCAGCACCTCTAGCTCCAGCACCCCTCAAACAAGCACCCCCAGGCCGAGCACCTCCAGTGGTAGCACCTCCAGCTCCAGCACCTCCAGCTCCAGCACCCCCTGAGTCCACAGTAACCTGTCGCGAACGTGTCGACGGCTGCTGGGGGGACTGTGAGGAGGACTGCAGGGAGGGAGACGCTACCTGATGCGCGACCAAGGGTAGAGGGGTAGCATGAGACACACCAGACAGGGCAGGACCAGGAGGGGGCGGGGGTACCGGAGAAGCGGGAGCAGGAGGAGGAGAGGGTGCAAGGTAAAGAGGAGGAGGGGGGACTGGGAGACCTCGACAGGGGTACTGGGTGTAGTAGGACACGGACTCGTCAAACCGGATGTCACGGGAGTCTAGGAACCAGTGGAGGGGCGGGTGGTAAAAGGTGTAGTTGGACGAGTCCACCGGGAAACCAAGGAAGACACAGGGGATGGCACAAGCCAAGAGCTTGTCCGCAGAGGTGTCGCGGACAAGCGCAAGGCAGCCCCAGACACAAAAGGCCGACCCAACATCAGGGGATCCTGTCCAAAGACTGGTCGGTGAAGCCCCCAACCGCGAGACACACGGCTGGAGGTTCAGCTAGTGGGCTACGTAGCGAACAGCGTAGGGCCACATAAAATGGGGCGTATGGGCATGGATCATGTAGGTGCGGGCAATATCCATGACCAAGCCTATGCGGCGCTCAGCAACCCCATTCTGCTGCGGGGAGTCTGGCAGCGTCCAGGACTGCGCGATGCCTTGTTCGCCGCAGAATCCGGCAAGCACGTCGGAGCGAAACTCACCCCCACAGTCGGAGTGGAGACAGCTGACGCGACGGCCACGAGTGCCCTCAGTGGCCAAGAGCCACCGGATCAGCGTAGAAGTCACCTCGGACTTCTTCGCGAGAGGAAACACCGTGGTGTACCTGGAGTAGTCGTCAACGACCACTAGAAAGAAGCGCTCCCGCTCGGGCCCAGCACGAGGGGCTGGGCCCCAGACGTCCAAGTGGAGGGTTAAAAAGGTAGCGGTGGCCGAACAAAGGGAGGAGGAGTGAGGAGTGGTGCGCAGCCGACCCTCGACGCAAGGACTGCATGGCGGCGCAGACGAACGGGGGAGCGACTCAAAGACCCGCGGGAGACCGGAGACCAGACGCTGGCTGGCCATGCTACGGAGGCGTGGGAGGGACGGGTGACCAAGACGGTGGTGCCACAAGACTGTCGGGTGGGAGAGTGACCGACAAGAGCAGGACGCAGCAACTAGACCAGACACAATAACCTGACCGGACACATCAACGTGACTGGACACAGCAACATGTGGGGACGTAGTAACTTGGCTCGACTCAGCTACCTCGGAGGGCGTAGTAACTTGACCGGACTCTGCCACCTGGTGGGACGCAGTGTGCAGAACGAAAAGACGTGAGTGAGGCTCCCTGGTGAACATGGCAAGAATTCCTCTGGTAGAAGCGTCTGTACAGATCGCGGTCCTCCCGTGCAAATGAAAAGTGACCGTGATCCCATGGTCCTGAAGGTATCCAACACCCACCAAGTTCCGAGAGAACGAGGGAATGTACAGACCAGTGAGGGAACCAGAGGGGTCAGCCGGGCACGAGAGGGTGGTAGAACTGCGAGCGACTGCTGGTCCTGAAGTAGGATCAGCCAGAGCAACTGAGATAGGAGCAGCAAGAAGTGTGACAGTGGTGTAGTCGCGGAAGAAGCACTAGGATGCGCCAAAGTCCAGCCTGAACGAGAGAGACGCGTCGGCATTTGTCACAGTCGCACTAGTAACTACACGAGCACCTACACTAGAAGCACAAGCACCTACACTAGCAACAGGCAAAGGTCCCAAGCTAGGTACACACAAGTCAAGAGATCCATACGTGATAGAATAAACAATATCCATAGACCTATCAAACACACGGTGACCACTACGAGACAAACCGGGCCAGATCGGCGGAACCGAATCAGGCCCAAAACGCTTACGGTAAAGGTCCTCGAGGCGGCTGTAGCAGCGTAGTGCAGGGTGGTCAGGACGTCAGCAAGTATTGCCAGCACAAGGTCCGGTCAAGATCCGGTACTGGCACGGGCCGACGTCGCGGCCGCCGCGACAAGCCCCCCAGCTGGCTGGACCGCTGCTGCACCCAACGCCGCCTGAATCACCAGGTCACCATTGTTGCTGAGGGCGCCACTGCTGCTGAGGGCACCACCGCTGAAACTGCTGCTGCTGCTGTCCCGGCTGCCGTAAAACTCTAGTGGACGCCATAGCAAAGACGAGCTGGGCGTAGGAGCGCGCGGAAACGCTGGGCTGAAAACTACTAGCGCTAGGAGCAGCTGGAGCTAGAAACGGCTAAGGCACGGGTGGAGCAGGGCACGGCAAATGCAAGGCATGGCTGGAGCAAGGCACGGTTGCAGCAAGGCACGGTTGGAGCAAGGCACGGCTGGAGCAAGGCACGGCTGGAGCAAGGCACGGCTGGAGCAAGGCACGGCTGGAGCGAGGCACGGCTGGAGCGAGGCACGGCTGGAGCAAGGCACGGCTGGAGCAAGGCACAATTGGAGCAAGGCACCGTTGGAGCAAGGCACGGCTAGAGCAAGGCACGGCTGGAGCGAGGCACGGGTGGAGCAAGGCACGGGTGGAGCGAGGCACGGCTGGAGCGAAGCATGGTTGGAACAAGGCACGGCTGGAGCAAGGCACAGCTGGAGCAAGGCACGGCTGGAGTACGGAGAAAAACTGAGCTAGGAGCGTCAGGAGCTGGAAACAGCTAGGAGTGCCCGTCTAGGAACAACGGGCCAAGGACGGCCGGCTCTGATCTAGTGTGAAACCCTAATCGGAGCTAGGGAGTGTGGATGCGGCTGCCAGCCGCTGCTGGGAGGGCCATCAGTGATAGTAACAATGCACGGTGACGAGGACTGGCGGGGAGGCAGGATGGACGCACAGGAACGAGAGGGAGGGGCACTAGATGGTGGTAGTGCATCGTAATGCGTGTTGTAGTGGGCTGTGCTGGCGTGTTGCGCTGGCTGGCCGACTAGCGTGCTAAGCGGGCGTGCATGCTGGCGTGCGCACTGGCGGGCTGCGCAGGCGTGTGCACTGGTGGGCTGTGCTGGCTTGCGCGCTGGCGTGCGCGTTGCATGCGCGCTGGCGGGCTGCGCTGGCGTGCGCGTTGGCGTGCGCGCTGGCAGGCTGCGCTGGCGTGCGCGGTGGCGTGCGTGGTGGCGGGCTGCGCTGGCGTGCATGCTGGCGGGCTGCCCTGGGCCAGAGCGGAGTGCGCTGCTGGCTAAGGGGCGCACACGTTCTGGCTGGGGCGCTCGTTTGTGGCTGGGGCGCGCGCATTTTGGCTGGGGCGGGCGCGTTCTGGCTGGGGCGCTCGCTACGAGCTGGGGCGCGCGCGTTCTAGCTGGGCACGCGCGATCTGGCTGGGGCTCGCACATCTGGCTGAGGGGCGCACGCTACTGGCTAGGGGCGAGCTAAGGCGCCACGGCGGGCATAGGACGACCTAGTGGTTGGAGTGAGGAAGGGGAGCAGGAGGAGCCTGAGGACTGTAATGCAACTTAGGCCTAGGAAGCTTCCTAGCGTGATACCATCTCAGAATGCCGGCGGAATGTGATACCATCGACTAGTAGGGCAAGAGGTACAAGTAGGAATGTCGAGGGACAATATGTACCCTATACTAGGCAACTCACAGTAAGTTAGCAAACTAACAAATCATATAGATATTATTTGACAAAATAGCATGTATATATTGTTTTGAAGGAAGCACATATTGTTACGATCAGAAGTTGATCAAGCCTAGGATCACCTCGCGAAGGTTTGCACGCAGCTGATTGGTAGTGGTGGGCCCTTGACCTTAAAACAGAATGGATGTAAAATGCTTTGAGATGAATTAAAACATGCAAATACAATCAGTTAAATAGTAGTACAAGGGGAATACGAAACGACATAGCTAGCCATTTACTCTAAGGGGTACATTCCCTTATTCAGATTCGAAATCAACCGTGCGACTCAAACAATGTCAAAACTGTTCCTGCCAATTCCCTCGTCCCTGCAGCTGTCCGATGCCGTCTGCTCCCGACGGTCTAGATATATTCAACTGTCTGCAACGCTTCGAGTCAACTCGACTCTTTGTGTTCTTGCTTCGGTAATGTGTGTATCGCTTTGCTGCGGTTAGGAGTGTACAATCACATTTCACTATTCGTAACACCCCCCTCCACTCCTGGCCGTAGCTCGACTTGACCTGCTTGACTACTCCGCTAAGTTCGGAGCAATGCTGGTACTGCTGACTTGGCAGTCGTTTCGTCAGGAAGTAAGCTGCCATGTCACCTGTCGGGCAGTAAGTCAGGTCTACCTTGCCCTCATCCACTTCGTCCTTGACGAAGAAGTACCGCAGCGCAATGTGCTTGGTGCGGTTGACGAATCCAGGCTTGTTCGCGATGCCGATTGCGCTATGGTTGTCGCAGTGCTGGCGAAAAGTGGGCGAAGCTGGAATTTTCGCCTCTTGTAGGAGTTCCTGCAGATAGAGGCCTTCACGAACTGCTGCTATTGCGGGAATGAACTCGGCTTTGGCCGATGACAGGGCAACCAACTCTTGATTCTGCGATCAATGATGACCGATGAAATTGGTCCTGTCGGTTCGAGGCGAAACAGGAACACAGTCCTGGACCGTCGATTGTCAGGGTCTGCTGCGTGATCAGCGTCCACGTAACCGATAAGATTGAAGGTTGGGGTTGGCACTGTTGAGTAACAGAGCCCAATCTTAGGCGTCGAAACGAAGAACTGCAGAGCGCGCTGCAGATCCAAAAGGTTCTCAGCCATTGGCTTGCGAGAGTACTGAGCCAGTTGGCTTGCGATGTAGGAAAGGTCGGGCCTGCAGGTAACGGAGGCAAAGAGCAGGCATCCCAGCTGCTGCTGGTAAGTTTGAATTTCAGCAGGGGATAAGGCTTTGTTGTCAGGTTTGTGGTTCGGAGTGGAGAGCGGCGCAGGCGAAATGTTGAAGCGTTTGCCAAGCTCCTCTGCAAACTTAGCCGCTGAGAGGTAAATAGCTTCTGGCGCGTAGTAGGAGATGTTGAGTCCTAAGAACTGCTTCACCTCGTAGTTACTGGTAATGTCGTCGCGCCCCGCTAGATTCTTCTCGAATTGTTCGAGCAGTTCGTTGCTCGACACTGTGTAGAGCAAGTCGTCGCCGTAGACGGTGAGCAAGATGTAGTCTCCGCGGAAATCGCGGCAGTACATCCCAGGGTCATGAGGCATCTGCTTGAAGCCTATTTCGAGCAGAATGTTTTGCAGATACTGCTGCCAGAGCCTTGGCGCCTGCTTGATCCCGTAGAGGGATTTGCGCAGCTGACATACTCGCGAATCTCCTTCTCCGTACGTGTGCGGCTGCTCCACGTAGATGACTGCGTCTACTAACGCGTACAGAAAAGCGTTCTTCACATCGATTTGGCGCAGCGGCAGGTGCCTTGCGGCGGCGGTGGCGAGCAGGATTCTGACAGAAGTGTGACGGCTACTGGCGCAAACGTTTGATCGAAGTCGATCCCGTGCCTCTGGTCGTAGCCCCGCACCACCCAGCGTGCCTTGAACCGTTCGATCGTACCATCTGCTGCCCATCTTCACACGGAAGACCCACTTTCCGAAAAGAACCCTTGCTCCCTTGATTGCAGCGCGGTCAACGAGCACCCATGTGTCTCGAGATTCGAGCGCCTTAATTTCCGCATCCATCGCCTTGCGCCATCCCTTGCTGTGTGGCCCAGTGAGTGCTTGGCGCGGATTTTTCGTTTCGATGACACGTGGCGCCGTTGAGGTCGTGGTGTGGAGCCCGAGAAGATGCAGCCCGGAGACAGTGCTGTCGTGGCGATGCTGCGGGACAACTTCCTGCACGTCGTCGTCGTCGCTCTCTTATTCAGGTGGTGCTGGCGTTGCGCCTCTGCCGCTTCCTCCTGTTCCGCCCATTCCTCCCCCAGGGGAATCGTCGTCGTTGTCGTCGTTGTGGCGGTCTCCTCTTGTGAACTCGCCCCTCGTGTCTTGTTCTAGGATGGCCGCAGCTGCTTCGTCCTCGGGTGTTGCATAGCTATGCCCGTGATGGGCGTAGACGCGGTTCGCGTTCGC